AAAGCTTTCAAAAATTCTAGTTTACATTTGTCATTTTTATTATTGACAACAAATAGTATCAGTTGTTCCCTTTAAGTAAAAAAACTTACACTGTATCCATTTTTAAGACACTAACTGTTAAATATCCAATTTTGAAAGTATACATTTTTTCTTTTTTCATGGTGTTGGGATTAAACCCAGGGTCTAGTACATGCCAGGCAAGTGCTCTACCAACTGAGCTATATATCCTATCCCCTAAATATCCAATTTTGAATAACCAGTTTGTCAGATGGCCTTTCAAAAAAAAAAATGATGTTCTATGAAAAAAAGCAACTTCTCAAGTGCTTTCCCTTTGCAGTCAACCCCTGCACTTTGGGATGCCACAGAAGTGTTTCACATGCACTTTTCATTTCATCAGAATATTTTAAAGACAAAGACTTAACAAAACTACTAACTCTTAGTTTCATAAAGGATATTCTTAAGGGAAACTGGCATTATTTTTACTGCACTGGCATGGTGGTAAAGATTAGAATGAATGTGGCAATTTAGTGCCACTGCCCTGATTCATGCTAAAATGCTGTTTTCACCTACCACTGCTTTTGCACCATCACTACATGTGTGGACACAGTGAAAAAGGAAAATTATGGCCCAATGTTCTTATGAAAACAGTTTGAAATGCATAAATTAACTAAAAGGGTTTAAGGGACCCCTACAGTTCCTCATTCCACACTTCAAAAACAACTACCACAGACTTTCCAAACACTAATCACTTTCACAATTTCCTATAAACAATGAACCTGTGAGTATTCTAATCCAAGATAAAGGGAGGAGAGAAAACAAACAAGAAACCTCCCCCAGCCCCCACCGCAAGTAAGGAATCTTAAAAAAAAAAAAAAACAAATTAGTGGTTGCTGGAAAGGATCCTCAGATGGGTAAGAAAAGATTGAAAATCAGAATCAGGTAGTTCTTTAAAAAAAAAAAAAAAAAGGCAGGCTTATTTAGATGGTCCTTTTTTTTTTTTTTTTTTAAATCCCATTCCCACACCAAGGATTTAGGAGAATTAGTAACAAACCTCAAATTAAAAGACAGAAAACAAGTATGACAAGACAACAGTGATAATGAAAAGATTTTCATCAGATAATAGTTCCTTTAGGGATTCTTTGAAATGTGAACTTCATAGTTTATTTTCATTTTACAGAAGGTAAAGTAACTCTTTTCATTAATAATCAAATCCTTACCATAACACTGTGTTAAGTTGTAAACAACACTTTATAATGAAGTTGGGGCACTAACCATTGAGCCAAAACCCCTATCCTTTTTTATATTTTGTTTAAAGAAAGGGTCTCACTGAGTTGCTTAAGGCCTTGCTAAATTGCTGAAGCTGGCCTTGAACTAGCAATCCTCCTGCCTCAACCTCCAGAGCTGCTGGGAGCCACCTCACCCAGCTCAAAGTGCTTCTCATTTGACAAGAAAACCGTTAAATTTTACAAAAGCAAATATATATATATATATATTTTTTTCTCATTGTATGTCCAATACCTAGCTCAACTCTTGTATAAGATGTTTAATAAATATTTGCTATTGTAGTAGTTCTGAGATACGAGTTTAAGTTACCAGATTTCTAGTACAAGACCTAGTGGTTTCTAAGTCATCTTTTCCACAGCTTTCTAAAATAACACTTTTGAGAAACCTAATGGAACTATCACAGCATACCCTGAGAAAATATAACACTACCTGTTATACTTAAAAACCTGTTATAGACTAGGTTTTATTTTATAGGTTTGCATTTAGATCACAGTGCAGAACCAAAACAAACAACTCTATCATTTTAACTTCTAAATATTTGTTCTGTGAAGTAAGCAATAATTTTCTATTCCTTAATGCAGACACAATAAGATACCAGTTTTAATTGTTATATATCCATTTCTACCTTCACACAGACTACACTAAATACTTCATTTTCTCTGATAATTCAAAATGGCTCTTAATTTTATACTTTCTTATATTTATATTTGGAACACTTATTGCCTTAAAAAGAACTTCAGATTCTGAAGACTGTGCAGCACTTTTGATGATAATCTGTTACTGTAGCTTTTTCTTTTTAATATTCCCTATCAGTTTGACATTTATTACTGTTTCTCACAAAAGGACAATGTAGAAAATTTCAGGTCATTTAGGTTCTAGATTTAAAAGAGATTAATCAAATTTAAATAAAGGCCACCAAATACAAAATTGAAATTCAATCACAGAAATGGCATCAACTTAAAAGAATATAATTGAGAATACATTTGAGGAATTGAAACTATGTCAAATCATATTTTATTCTGACAGACATGCTATGAATGTAACTTCATTCTGCAGCTTGACATGACCTCCCTAGGATATAGGCAAAGGAAATGGTCTTCTGTTGGAATGTGAAGCATTTGAACTAGGTATTCTTTAAAGAAAAAAAATATATATTTTATGTCAGTAAAGACTTTAAAGAGAGATCATGGACTGGATCTTTTCTGAAGGTTTAAAAGGAAAAAAAAATGTTTCAAATGTCTAGGATGACTTAGACTTGGCCTCACATTTGGCAATTGAGAATTAGTTCAGAGGTCAGTCTGACCCAAAGGATTCAAATCCTGGCTGTTTGTCACATAAACAAGTCTTCAGCAAACTGCATCCTTCTGCTGTACAGCTATCCAGGCCCAGCTCTGGCTCTCCACAACCTTATCCTTAAAATCACCTCACAGCTAATGATCATGTCAGCTATGGAGAATTACTTCTTTCAACTACTGAAACTTTCGCTTCTCAATAGTGTTCTGCAGTCCTTTATTCCTGTCTTCCTAACATTACTGGGGAGGGAAGTATTTTGCAGTGTAATCACTATCTGCCTTATTAACAATGCCCTGTTCCATTGTTCTACCCAAACATGGATTCCACTCTTAATTTCAGAAACAACAGTAGGAAAGTAACAGATAACAGAGAAATGAGAGCTCTTAGGTTTCTCAGGGCCAAAGTCAAAAGAAAAGAGACAATTCAGAGAGGAAGGAAGAAGCTTAGAGGGTGTCACAGTGCAGAACACTTACTTTTAGGAACAGAGTGTCCCTTAGACTTCTGGTGGGTTGCCCAGAGCCTCTTCAGTTTCAATCCAAATGACAATGCTTCTCTGAGTGCTCCTCAAGTAATGTTTCCACCACTAAAAATGGGATCTACAAGAGCTCAGATGTACTGGTAAAAAAAATGTCAGGGGCTCCCATGTGGGCCTCAAGCCTCTTTAAAAGTAGGCCCACTTCTCTGTCCTGGGCCAACTCCCCTGTGCACTATAATCCTTCTTCTTCCAGGTGCCAGGTATTCGGCCTGTTTCTTCTCTTCTGAGCTGCCACCACCTACTCTATTTCTCAGGGTTCCTCTAACCCCAAGACTGGCTGTGGAGTAGGACAACAGCTTCCCCCCTTCCTTGCTGTCCCTGCAAATAAACATATAGGCTCTTCTAGTTTCAGTATTTTTCTAATTGCTACAAGAAAATAGAGAGGGAACAACAAAAAGCAACAATACAGAGATTAAGATTTAAAGTTCCTGCCGCCAAAAAAGAAATTTCCTAAATGGTGCTTCTTTAGAATTTTTTAAAATACAAAGCACTAATAAAGACATATGAGTACACTCTTAACCAAATCCCACCTCATATAACATAATGATGCTCTTCTTTTCAAAATACTTAAAACACGGGTCCAAAAATAGCAAGGAGGTAACTTTTTTTCTTTTAGAATGTTCTCTCATTTTCCCTTGAATTTAGCAAATGTTTAAAAGTTTGCTTTTTAATAATGATCCTGAAAGATGTTCAAAATATTTTATCCAATTCAAATGAAAATTCATGTACAAAAGTCTAAGATTTACAAAAAGACAACCATGTCAAAAGCAGGTCGTTTCACATAGAAAATCTTTAAAATTTGAGACTTCTGGTCCTATGTTTTAAAAATTTAATAAAGTGTTTAAACCAATAGGATATCTTCTTTTTAGAAATCTAACTTTTACTGAATATTTATAATGTCAAAATTACAAAGACCCTCTATTTTAAAAGTAACAGTAAACTTAATGTGCTTACGGTGAGAATTTAAGATTCTAATAGACTTTGAAATATCAAAATAAGTACCTTATCTAAATGTTAAGCTATAAATCACAGGATTACAATGAATTAATTCAAAGGCCACCTTCCTCTAAAGGCCAAGAACTCTTTTAACTAAGTGCTGGCATTATCAAGAACGCCTGACTTTGAATTTCCTGGATGACTTTCTTTATCCACTTAATTCATTTAAGTGGCTTTTTAAAAGACAGAGTTATAATACTATAAGCTTACAAACCATAAACTAAGACTGAAAATAGGCGGATATCATTTTATCTTGTTTTTTAAACAGGCTGCTATTTAATCAAACTAAAGATATTTGGATACTTAGCGTAAAAATGTGTTCCTGTGACTGGGTTTACCTCCAAATACTTATTTAGAAAATATTAGAGAACTGGAATAGCACACCAAACAAAACCTTGGTCTGACTCTTCCACACATACACGTTTTTAAAAAGCGGTTTAATCTATTATGTATTCTACAATAAGATACTTTTTTATGAGGATCAAAATTAAATTACATCCTTTGCTCCTAAAGAGGATTTCAGTCTTCTTGATCCCCGCACACTAACACAACAATGCAGTCAACATTTTTATGCCGGGAGTGGGGAGGAGACATTATACCCAGCGATACGAATTAAATCGCAGGAACTAATGCCTCCCTAAATAATTTATTTTCTCTTGGCAGCAAAAAAAAAAAAAAGAAAAAAGAAAAAAACGTTACAGCCTCTTCAATTACCCCTCGCCGCAAACCATCGCGTGGGTCGCGATCGATGTGACCCGACTCCTATCGCGGCCACCACCTCCGTCTCGCCCGCTCCCGACGGGTCTGCGAGTGTCACGGGAGGGGCCCGCAGCCGCAGGGGCGTCCGGTGCGCCGCGACCCCGGCGACCGGCGGGGCAGGCCCGGGACTCACCGGGTGGAGGTGCCCTTCCGCACATCGCACATCATGCACTTGAAGGCCTCGGCGCTGTTCCGGAAGGTGCAGACGCTACAGTCCCAGTAACCCTCATCCGAGGACGGCTTCGGCTGCCGCTTCGGCCTGCAGGACACAACCCGGACACGACGC